TGACAGGTGTTGCTGCTGTTTTTTTTCTCTCCCTCTGATCACAACTCGGGAAAAGTTGTTAATTGGGTCTCGGGATTTCTCTTTTTCTTTTTTTTAACAAAAATGCTGCTGTGAACTTTTAATTAAAGGAACATTCCTCTCGATTTGAACTCCATTTTAAGGTGGAAAATTCATATAGCAGAGCACACATTGTGGAGTTTTTAACTGTGCATCTCATCGATCCAGTTGTGTGTTCACTGGATCTTATCAGTGTTGAAGTTCCAGTTCTTCTTTTGTTGCCAGGTTGTCAGCTGCCCAGCTCTTCTTCTGTTAATTATAGACAAACCATACATGTTATTTATATTGGCACTATCACTGTTTTTGTTGTCAACAATTCCGTTTCCCACAACTGAATAATAGACAAATAAACATACTGTAAGTTGATCTAATCAACAATTATTATATCTCTCTTTATCACCCCCAAATGAAGATTATTTGTAAAATAGGGAATTATGAGCATGCCCTAACTGCTAGGGGAGCCTTGTGAGAATTTTTTTAGTAATCTGTCCTCGTCAGTCCTGGCGTTCCTCAAGGATGTGTGTTTGGACATCCAAAACTTAAGACTGCTCTCCTACACACATGGACCATATGCACCTGCTTCACTTTTGTGAAAATCGATGCTTATGTGTCCAATTGTAGTTCAAACATAGAGTGAAGACATGCCAACGCCAGGCTGCAACGGACGATTATGTACAATACATATTTTTTAAAGTGTTATCGACTTTTGGTCAAGTGACTAAAGAAATAATTGACTATTGACTTTTGTGACTTATATTGTGTTTAATCAATCAGTGCTTCCTGTGCAGTAGTTCTCCAAATCATGAGGAAAATATTAGTTTTCCGCCCAATGTAGCAACAACCAGTTGTACTATCAAAAAAAACACTGCACGTTTTCAGAGACACTTCACCAATGCCGAAAAGAGTTTTTGGAGTAAGGAAGTAAAATGACTCTGAGAAGTGTGTGGTAGCAGTACTGAAGATTACATCTAATTAGTGTGTATAGAAATCATGAATTCACAGAGCCGCTCCAGACTGTGCGCTGTATTCTCAGTAGGGTGGTGTGCTGCTGCTGGCGGCTGTTCCTGCCGTGGTGGAGCTGTAATTTATTCATTGAACAGGTGAAGGCGGCGAGGAGTGGGTCGGTTTCTCCTCGCCTAATGAAAACTCAAATCCCTCTGACTCCTGTAAATTGGTTAGGCGGTGTCAAGTGTCTCCCAGCACGTCCCCACCGTCCCAATATCCCCCCTCCCATATCACACACACACACTTAAAGAGCACACACACTACGACTCATAAGGTTGGTCGTCTCAATGCAGACAGCGGGGACGTGACTCTCCAGCTCCTGTCCTTCAAGGACACACTCTAGAGCAGTCACACACTCTAAAATATGTACACACACACACACACACACACACACACACCAGAGTCAGGCTGCTCTGAGGCCGTGGGACAGCCCCATCTGTTTGGGAGCCAGCGGCGGTGACATTTAAAATTGATTACAAAGGGAAAGATTGATTATGATAATGTTCACTTATATTCACTCATTACGGAGTTATGGCTGCTCATAAATCACTGCTGTGTCATCTGGAGATGATGAAGAGGAGTGTGGTATTAACAGCATGATCCTCTGCAGACTGAGGGTCATCGTTTTTAGATTTTTACTGATTTTATCTAATCTGAGTGTAGTTTAAACATTCAGTTCCACACCTGAACCAGACGTTGAGCGGTCTGTTAGAAAGGACTGATACTTAACATTGCCCTTAACCTCCCCAATTGATATGACCTTATGTCATGCTGTGCCCTGATCATGTGAGCGGAAACAGAGAACCTGCTTACACCCTGTTTGAGAGCAATTTAATAAGATTTATTCGATAAGTGTAGTGATGTAACTGCCCACATTTGGCTTTGAATCGTCTGCCTCATAGTCAGAGGTCATCATTTGCTTCAAGTCTCTTATAATACTAAACACTTTGATTAGTTTCTGTTAAGTCATACAGGGAAAGGGAGACATCAGTCTAGTTGCAACTCTGCACTCTAATTTAGCTGCACATACAGCATAACTGTCATCAGATCAGTTTACTTTCATATGAGATCTTATATCATGTTTTAGGGCTGCTTACGTGAAATATAATGCCAGCAATCAGCAGTAAAATGCAATCATTGAAATTATGAATGGCACAACCAGTGACGATTTTTGAACATTTCTGTCTACTATGAAAATAGCATTTAACAAAACAATCTTAACTCAAGACCCGTCACTAACTTGGTGGGCTTCTTTTATTTATTTTTCACGTCTGACAAAGACTCAACAATTTGTCAAAAAGAAAATGTATTAAATGAGTTGCCACTATAATGAGCATAACACTTTCCATTGTGAGGTAGTCTCTTGTAGATGATGTCAGACACATTTTACATTTTATGTATGCACCATGACATCAAGTCAAATTCCTCGTATGTGTTTAAACCCGTTTCTGATTCTGAACTCCTGCCCTATGTTTTTAATGTGGTTATCCTCTTTTATTGCAAGCCAAGTAAATTATGTCTAATTTGAATTGCAGCTCTGAACTTGCTTGTTGTGAATACACCCTAAAGTAACTACCAAATACTTGTAACAACATGGTGTCACATCTGAGTCAAGATTGTTCCTCCCTTGCGTCTTTTCTGTCCCTCTGTGAACTAAATGTAAGCACCGTAAAATCACTTTTAAAGCGCTGTAAAGCACTTTACCCCTCTACCTTCTTGTTTCATGTCTCTGTCGTCCCTCTGTCTCTAATCTCCCCCAGCACCACTTTGCTGCCTCCCCTGTAATCTTCCCTGCAGCCTCAGTCGCTGCGAGTCACACTTGGGTCATGGGAACTCACAGCTGCTCGTCCGGCCTCATGCAGTTGACGGACAGTGAGCTCCATTTTGGTTTGTTTGCAGATGCCCGTGAAAAAAAAGGAAAAAAATAGCCTTGCACCTGAAACAATCCAGAGTGTGAGTTTGTTGCTGTGGGATGGCGGAGCGCGTCTCCTCTGGGAAGTAGGCCATAGTGTGCAAGCATAGTGTGCAGGCATAGTGTGCAGGCATAGTGTGCAGGCATGCTGCGCTTTCTCTCAGAATGTCCACAGAAAACCGTATCGCAGCACTAAATGGTCTAATCTAATATTGATGTGAAATATACACAACACCAGTGATGGAATGTTACTAAGTACATTTGCACTTAAGTACTATTTTGACATCCATGTACTTTAATAATATTAATGATAAAGCTTTATTTGTAAAGCACTTTTCATTCGCAGGATGCAAGTCGAGAGAATAAAAATAAATAAACATAATCAAAACGTTTACAACAGATTATCCACTTAGTAAAAGTTGCATAGACATAAGGAAAAGTGAATGAATACAAAACATTTATAACAAATTATAAATAAATTGAACAATATGAAAAATATTTTCGGCGACTTGAGGAATATTTAAAAGCCTGCTGCTCAGTTTTTATTTGAGTATTTGATGCTACTTTATACTTCTACTTCACTACATGTCTCACTACTATAATGAATTTAAACTTACAGTTAAAACATGCGGTGAATATATCCAAACATTGCGACAATTGATCGCATTTTAAATTATTTCAAAAGGTTGTGTTGTCACTTGCTGCCTTTTTCCTCATTCTGACTCACACTCAAGTGTTACGCTCTGAGGAAGCGTACAATAAATGCCAATAAATGATGCACGGCAGTAAGAATGCTCATGCAAACTCTACGTAAAAGCTGTGTATTGTATTTACATTTTATATGTTATATCTGTACATCGCACTGCATTTCAATCATTCTTGTTATTGGTATTCTGTGCAATGACAATAAAGCTAAATCTAATATAATCTAGAAAAAATGTCATCATGAAATCATTATAATTTCTTCTAGCATTTGCTTTTACTTTAGTCTACAATGTGTTATAAGAAACCCTGAATGGTATCGATCCCATCACCCAAAGAGTCTCCCCTGACACCTGAATTAAAAGACACACCAAGCCCTTACCAGATCTATGTGGAAGAAGGCAAGGAAAAATGAATTTCCCTTTTTGGAAATCAATACATTACCACTCAAAGTCATCAAATCCCTACGATTTCCCGGGGCGCTGACCTCCCGGTGGATCGAGGAGAAGACGAACGTACGCCCTCTGATATCGATACGGTGTCATGGAAAAAGATCATCGAGATCCAGAAGTGACAAAGGAAAACTGGATTTAATGTTTGGTTCTAAAACAAAAATCATTTTAATAAACAAGACCTGTCAGGTGAAATATGGAAAAGACAGCTTATTCTCGGGTGAATGTTTTGTCTTTCATCATAACAGTGGCTGCACTCTTTAACTAGCCTCGGGTTGATGGAGGCTAATCAGTTACAGCAGTGTGGGAACAATAATTATTTTCCCACCGTGTGTGTGTGTGTGTGTGTGTGTGTGTGTGTGTGTGTGTGTGTGTGTGTGTGTGTGTGTGTGTGTGTGTGTGTGTGTGTGTGTGTGTGTGTGTGTGTGTGTGTGTGTGTGTGTGTGTGTGTGTGTGTGTGTGTGTGTGTGTGTGTGTGTGTGTGTGTGTGTGTGTGTGTGTGTGTGTGTGTGTGTGGTGTGTGTGTGTGTGTGTGTGTGTGTGTTGTGTGTGTGTGTGTGTGTGTGTGTGTGTGTGTGTGTGTGTGTGTGTGTGTGTGTGTGTGTGTGTGTGTGTGTGTGTGTGTGTGTGTGTGTGTGTGTGTGTGTGTGTGTGTGTGTGTGTGTGTGTGTGTGTGTGTGTGTGTGTGTGTGTGTGTGTGTGTGTAGACTCATGTGTTTCTGTTTATGAGTTACGGCATCTCGTATCTAGGTTTCTGTGTAAACTCCACATCATGTGCATGTCTTGAAGTGGGCATATCTGAGTTTCTGTGTGTGTGTGTTTCTGTATTAGCGTGCACTGTAATAACCTCTGCCCCCCCTTCTGTGTTTCAGCGAGCGTACACTGTGATATTGGAGGCGTGGGACAGGGACAATGGCACACACAGCAATGGTAAGCATCATTTCACCAATTTAAACATTTTTCTGATGTCCGTCCTTTAATTTTGTCTTTGTATATCATAGCTCTAGTTAATGTGATTATTCTTAGGTCATGGTGTTTGTGTCACATTCTGGCTCAACTCATCCGTTTCTTTGGCTTTGATTTCTTGCTAGTAATCTACAGTTTTATTCCCATCAAATGGTTCACAGTGAAAGTGATGAGTATTAACAAGAACTAGCAAAAATGGGCCATTATGTCATGCTTACTCACACCTGTACGCCCGAGGTCTATTTGGTAAGCAGAATGGAAAGAAAGCCAACTCACCCACTCATATGAGACACCTGCAATCTGTTGACTAACATGAAAGGAATGGGAGACGTGTGCCATGTTGTGAGATTTGTGAATCTGTGCGGGAATGTCAAGTTTACCCATCAACGCTGCACCTTCAAAGTGAGGCATTGACTTCCTCATGCACCAATCTGATTTGTCATTGAGTTTCCTAACGCTCCTCCACCACCGTTTCCCATTTCTCGCCCTCTTCACGGTCACTCTGACTGTTTTTGGCCATCTCTATATAAAGCCTGTGAGAGCATTGCATCGTTAAGCCATTAATTACGGACCGCAGCAGCTTTTCTTTGCCCCTCTTTCCTCTGATGTCTGTCTCCTAATTAGCATCCCGACAGCTGTCCGGCTACTGCAAGCACTTCATTATCCTGAAGCGCTGTGACACGCTGCCATCTAGGCTGCCATGCCCCGGCCTGGACAGCAGCTCTCGTGGAGCGACACTTTGGTTTCTGATCACTCCACCACCTGTCGATGGTGCAGTGTCATGGGTGGAGGGATGCTTTAAAGGGGCTTTATTAGGCTTTTGGGGCTTTTTCCTTCCCTGTAGTGTGTTGTATAGGTTTGTGTGCATGTAATTGGTCTGCAAAGGCTTAAATCCCAAAGTTTACGGAACATAGTGACACCACTACGTAACACTAGCGCTCTATTGGCTAGCGCTCCAACACATTGTACGTGATAGGCTAAGAGGCGGGACATCTCTAAGTGGTTGACCAATCACAACAGAGCCGGCCAGCTAACCAATCAGAGCAGACTGGGCTCTGGTTTCAGACAGAGGGTGAAAAGAGATGCTGCAGCACAGACAGTAAGAGAAAAGTAAAGAGCTTTTTGAACATTAAAGCGTGGAAACATGTAGCAGTAGAGGAACAAAATACTAATATGAACCTGAAAATTAGCATAATATGTCCTCTTTAATAATCCTCATCGTGGTGAGGCAGGCTGGGGGCGCCGTGTCTTATCTTGAATACTTGGAGATTTTTCTCATTCGCGATCAAGTTTGATTCTTAAATCTGTCAGTGAGTCTGTCAGAAGCCAAGTGTCAAATTCAAACATAACAATTTCTTTGTATCAAATACTACACAAGTTAGGAATATAAATGTAATAATAAGAAACATTCCTCCATGGATGTGATGCTCAGATTTATTTTAGCAGGTATTTGGGCTTAAATTGTTATTATTTACTTCTCTGCGTATCTACTTTCACTCGAAACTTCACTTTGGGAATTCCTACATTGTTGGGAGTTGCTTTCGACAAACGTCAGAGAGCAGGGATAAACATGTTGCATCTAGCATTACTGAAACTGTTGCATAATTAAAGAGAGTGCTAGAGAATCGTCATGTACAGCAGGCCAGGTGTGAACAGGAATAAGAATGGAAAGATGTCACGACCAAGATTTTTTGGCCCAAGAGCCCATTCCTCAACACTGTCTTATATTTCTGTACGTAATACAGGTTTAATCTAAAGTGGACCCACAGTAAATTTAAAATAGAAAACTAAGTGTGACATCGTGTGAGCTTTCTGAAAACACAAAGTAGCCCATATTTGGTTTTTTTCAAAAGTATTTTGATTATTATTAATGGGGGAGGATTGTCAGTTGGACAACAGTATTTACAAAAGTTTACTGCATATATTAAGAAAAAGGCCTAACGGAGCGTCCACACAGCAGCGTGCGTTGACGCTTGGAGGTGGGCGTGTCTGAAGCTTGGGGATTTTTTGCGAGCAACGCGACCAACAACCAATCACATGAATCTCCCGCCCCCGACATAAAAAGCAATAGCAATGTTAAAACGAAGTAAACTGGATATAAAATCCCCAAACAGGCGAAAACCTACCAGTTTCATCCACTGTCTCTGCCACCTCCCTCCATGCCTCGCTCCTCCGGTTTGTATCCCGGTAGATGAACAGAGACTGATCATACAGCACCGGGTGCTTCACTACCGCTATAATGCATTTTCCCTCAATTTTTTTGAATATGAGGAAATGACCTGCGTAGTCTCTCCCAGCATACACGCGGTTTGATTGGCTAGCGCTTGTACTGGCAGATTTGCATAAACGGGATTTCATTGGCTGACGCCTCCGTCGAGGCGTCAAAAGTTGAACATTGCTCAACTTTTGAAGCCAGCAACGCCAGCAACGCTCCACGTCGCTTCCCAAAATGCAGTTCGGCTAAAAGTGACGTCACCCCATGGGCAGAAGCGTTGAAAGCTTCAACGCACGCCGCTGTGTGGACGGGCCATAAGCCTCCAATGGTCTTATCTTCTGAAGTTTGAGAATGTGCTGCTTTTCTCAGTTCTGTTGTTCACCATTGATTCTCTCCTGTAAATGTCAGAAAATACTGAAAATAGTTCATCCAAATTTCCTAGAGCCGATATTGACATACGATTTATTTTTTCTGACGATTGGTCGAAATCCTAGGTATTGCATTCACTGTCAAAGAAGACGTACAATGTTAACATTTGAGACGCTAGATTCAAAATGTTTTCATTGATGAACTCTGTGAGAGGTTATGATGGCAATTATAAAAGAAGCGAGGTTACTCCAGTGAGCGTTGTGTGAACAGGTCTGGGCAGCAGGTTGGAGAGTTCTCAGAAAATGAAGTCTGTGTGGAAGCTGTTTGGGCTTCAGGAAGCCCCCGCCTGTTTTAAATACAAAATAGAAAGCGCAGGAGAGGATGATGATGATGATGAAGTTAACTCTGTGTCGGTGGATTGTTGGCTGGTGTGGAGGGTACACATTATTTTGTTTACAGTGGGTAAGGATGGGTAATCCCCTCCATCATAAACCAGGGGAGAATTCAGTTGAGATAGCTTCCTTCTGTTAATCTTCTTCCTCTTTTCCATAAAGCTCTATTGTTATCCATCAACTGTTAAATACAGTTAATTGATTCACACACCATGAACGCACACACACACACACACACACACACACACACACACACACTGTAGTTTATTGTGTGGATTATTCTGCTGCTGAAAACAGTCACCAACACATTTACTTGTTCCTCCTTGTTGAGTAAAGTTTGCTTAAAACAAAATAATATATTTGGTAGATTTAAAAGATTAACGTCTTTATCATAAACCAGTGGGAATGAGAGCTACAGACAGGAAGTCATCACATATTTCGAAAGCCTTGAACTGATATTTTAATGGGATTTGTTGACAATAAAAACAATTTATATGATAAAAGTATTGCCAATCTTATCGCACAACACTGATGCACTGATGGTTTTGTACGTTATATTCAGATAAATGAAAACAACTAAGGTGATAGATGAGGTATTTGTAACGAAACTGTACTAATTCATGTCACATTACCACAAACTAACAATTTAAATATCTATGGTATCAATAAGTGGTACCCTACTGATATAATGATCAAGCATTATGTGAGCAATGAACTTAAGGTAATTTTCATATTTCCTGACGTGGGAGTGTGCCGCAAGCTGTATGCTGCAATAATAAGATGCATTATAATGTTTTTGCAATTACACGAAACCATTTCAAAGTTGATTAAGTGCAATTTCTGTACCTTATAATTTGAACTCCACCCAGCTGAAGCAACAAGCAGGTTAAAACAAATCAGCAAAGAGAGAGAAGAGAGGTATATCCACCTCTTTTACTGATCACAAATGTATGTAACAGTTTGTTGGTGCCACACTGAACCGCCTGCAGGAAGATGCTTTCCAAAACAAAATAACTGCTTGACAACCGGGTTATCATCGCTGAATCACTTTCAGAGTGAGAGGGTTGTTCGGGCATGGCCTGTTGTGCTTTCATATGCAGCCATTATCTACAACCAACATAAGACTAAGGGCTCACGAAATGATTGCAGGTTTTATTTATAGTTTCTAGTTGTAGGAGATTTTTGTTCTCTTGGCATATGTGATGGAAATTCAACATTTACATATTTTTTTAAATCCAATGATCATGGTTTTCACTGAAAAATAAATACTGGAAGACAATTTAATTTAAAGGGGATCTATTCTGCTCATTTTCAGGTTCATATTTGTGAATATGTGAACCTGAAACGATGTGATTGGTTAGCTGACCGGCTCTGTTGTGGTTAGTCAACCGCCTATATATTTCCCGACCCTTAACCTATCACGTACAATGTAGGGGTGTAACGGTATTCGTCCCGTACCATCACGGTTCGGACGTCACGGTTCGGTGCATGCAGTCACACGACGAATACGTCTTTTTTTTACGAGTGGGAAAAAAGTCTGTCATTCAGGGAAGACTACAATATGTATAATCCAGGGGGTGGTATTGCGCCTAAAAGCTGTTTGCCAGCCACACTTAAACAACAAATGAAGAAGAAGAAGAAAACACAACAAAACAAACAAAATACAAGAAGAAGAGAAGTTAGTATTGGGAGTTCAGATTAGTGATAGGAATTATGGCTCTTTGAAGGGAGCTGGATCTTATGGCTCCGTTCCTTTGCGAGAGCCGTTCAAAAGAGCCATTTTTTTAAAGGGGGCGGGGTTAATAGGTTTACCTGCGAAATATACCTTTTATAATTCAATCAAATGTAGCCCAGTTTTGACTAATGATTTATATGTGTACACATATATCACTTAAATTATTCAATACATCCTTTGTACTGAAGTATTCAAAAGTAAAAATTACATTTTTAATATAAATGATTTGCTGTGGCCAATTGTTTTCATTGCA